AAATTGTATTGGCCTAGAGTTCTCTGCATGCCTAAATGTTAATTTTGGTGTTATCACAAGATCCCTTCCTGGAGGGAATAAATACCCCACTATTCTATTGCCCTTCATGCAGGCAACTATTACTTTAATAGTTGTTTCTTGTCTCCTAACTGAAATTCTCAGAGTTCTGGAACTCCAAGGGAATGTGTGATCAATGAGCTGAAAATCTGACTGACCCTGCACTAACTTTTCTATTACTACCCCTGATGAAATGATGTTCTAGAAGTCCTACGAGAACCCAGTACTCCCTTCTAAGCAGGAAGTAACTTCGGAAGATGAAAACCTCTCCTTAACCTTTAATGTATTCAGGTACTTTCTCCTAGCGGGGGATGTTAAGGTGGAAGTAGAGACAGAAGGAAGGAACTGAGGTTAATACAACAAGTCATTAGGAATATGTCAGAGCAGAGATAACTAAGATATTCAAAAGATCACAGGACAGGTGACTTCGTCTTTGACCCCACACTTGTGCCTGGGTGAATGGCAGGGAAAATAGTAGTTCTACATGTGCATAAAGAACGAAGACAAAGGCACAAGAATAAAGATCCCCTGATGCTAACAGTGTGAGATGCATCACAAAATATCAAGGACAAATCAGCAAGCCACTAAAAGCACTGGACAACATGAAACCAGTGTGAGCATCATGAGGCTATGAGACCATACTGATATGAACATTGTGGGAACAGAACAACATTGAGCATTGTGGAATAAGACTAGTGAGGGACCAACATGATGCTTGAACTTCATGTACATGATTTAGTCAGTAACACTTGCATCGTTACTTATGCTGTAAAATAAAGGTCTGTCAACACAACACTGTCCTCCCGTTGTTCATCTATTTTGCTCGAGTGGGCCCAGTAACGTCTCCATTTTGAGACTTCTTGTTACTGTGTTTGGCATATTGAATACGTCATGGGTAATTTGCCAGGCTTTGCCATGCTGGCAAGATACTCTCGGTAGCTTGCCGGGCTCTCTGAGAGAGGTGGAGGAATTGAACCCGGCTTGGCTGGGCTGGCTGCGTGCAAGGCAAATGCCCTACCCACTGTGCTATCACTCCAGCCCAAATAAAGGTCTATAATACCAAATACATCTGGAGTTTCATGTGTGAATTTTATACATGGATTGCCAAGGATCACCTAGAAATATAGTCAAAATTTGGTCTATCAATATATCTACCAACAGATATGTGTAGAAATCCAAATGAACACATACAATGATGATAAGTATCATTTTCATTTAGATATGCAAATGAAGACAATGATGAGACATCGTTACACATCAATTGGAGTAGCAAGGATTAATAAAAAAACTGACATTATTAATTGCTGGTGAAGATGTATAGCGAGAGGAACTCTCATTTATTGCTGGAGAGAATACCAAAAGATCTTGTCATTTTCAAAGACATATAACTACTTCTTACCAACTATAACATTGTTTTCATAATACAATCTAGAAGTAGCACATTTGAATATGAGTACAATTGATTTGAAAGGTAACGTACACACAAAAACCTGCATATAAGTTTTTATTTACTTCTATCAATCAATGATAAGCTAAGAACTGGAAGCAAAAAAATTTTAAATAGCTGATTGGGTAAACTATTAAAAATTGGAGATAAAAAAATCCAAAATGGTATTCATGCTGTGTTCCACCTAGATTTAATACCTAGTCTAATAGCTGTTTCAGCTTCTCCCAAGGGGTTGTAATCTTAAATCAATCAATCTGGGGTTCCTCAGTCAGAGGAACTGGAGAGCTAATTTGCATGATAAAACTTCTCAGCCTTCTCTTGAGGAAAGGTGACTTTGTCTGAAATAATCATTTCTTTTGTTAATGACCTGCCCTATCTTCTCTTTTAACTATAAAAATCTTCTATTATTTAGTATTTTTTGCAGGCACTTTCTACTTGCTAGAAGGATAACTAGTAAGATCTGGGATTTCTAGGGAATTGGGGCAGAATAGGGGAATAGGTGAAGCACAGGAGACTTTTTATGATAGAGAAACTAGTCTACATGGCCTGTAATAATGGAGACAGGATACTCTACACCATTGTTACCCTTCGAACTTTAAAGTAAGCTGTGATGAAGGCAACTTAAAAAAATCATTGAGAGGTTAGGGAAGGCTAGGATGGCATGGACACTGTAGCCTAAGAACTGTAGCTATGTTAGAAATAGATCCAACACACTTACTGAAGGAATAAAAGGGGAAAGATGCTGACCATTGTAATGTCAGAAATGAGTGGAGGCAAAAGGACATGCATATAACATGTCCTCTGCTTGATATGTTGATATGTGCTAAAATTTCTAATATTTAGGCTGGGAAGATAAAGCAAGTGTTAAAGTGCTTGCTTTGGCATGTGACCAACCCTTGCTCAAATTCCCAGAACTACATATAGTCCTTTGAAAATCAATGTGAGTGATCCTTGAATACAGATCCTAGGAATCAACCCTGAAAACTCCTCGTGTGAGCCTAGAACAAAACAAAAATTCTAATATCACTAAACAAATGTACTAGAATTAATGATAGCAAATAGTGTGAAGCAGGATTCTCACAATTAGAATGAGAAGCTCTAGACAAATGAAAGAAATGAAAGAAAAAAAATGAAAGAAAGCTAGGATGGTCATGTGGTTACAGAATTGAGACTTGATTAGGGATCTATGCTCTGGAGCGATAGCACAGTGGTAGGGCGTTTGCCTTACAAGCGGCCAACATGGCCGACCCGAGTTCGATTCCTCTGCCCCTCTCGGAGAGCCCGGCAAGCTACCGAGAGTATTCGATATGACAAACACAGTAACAACAAAGTCTCCAAGGGAGACGTTACTGGGCCCGCTCGAGCAAATCGACGATCAACGGGAGGGCACTGATTAATATAGTACGTATTAAATTTTCATATTTATAGGTATGTGACTATGTACAGGTTCACAAATAGTTTTGTTCTACAAGCTAAGTGACCCAGAAGCCGTGATGTCCAGTAGCAATAAACACACCTAATATTTTGATAACGGTTTCTATTATCATCTCCAATAAAAGTTGATTCAGGATTCCTGCAGGAAGTAAGATATATATATATACATATTACATATATGTAATATGTATATATCATTTTCTGATGCCAGAATAAATAAATTTCTCAAAAAAAATATAACATACATGTGTCAGAAGATAGAGAAGAACTTCTAATTGGACCTCAATGAACTATTTGAGCCACAAAATAAAGTGGTGTTGGATTATAACAATATGTATAAAATAAGTGTTTCATCTATAAAATATTAAATTATTGAATAAGTAAATTAGTGGGATGAATAGACAAATATGCCATGTGTCACTTTTTACTTTTAAAATGTAGGCAGCTTATAGAAACTTCCAAAGAGTAGAGGTGGGAAATGACTTTTCAATGGAGAAAGCTAAAAGTGCTCCAGGTACATGAGCAAAGTTAGCATCAATAATGATAAGTCATGTTAAAGCAACTACTGATCTGATGAAATAAGAATATTTTTACCTCAGTGTTTCTTCTCCCCAAATATATAACCCCAATCTGATTATGCCATGACACTGTCATCCTGTTGTTCATAAATTTGCTCGGGCGGGTACCAGTAACGTCTCCATTGTGAGACTTGTTACTGTTTTTGGCATATCAAATACACCACGGGGAGCTTACCAGGTTCTGCCATACATGCAGGATATTTTAGGTAGCTTGCCGGGCTCTCTGAGAGGAATCGAACCTGGGTCGGCCACATGCAAGGCAGACACTCTACCCCCTGTGCTATCACTCCAGCCCAGGTGTGCTATTGCTCCAGCTCCCGGATAATTCAATTAAATAAAATTAAGGAACAGATTTTGAGCTGGGCTGGGCTCAGTGGCAGAGTGCCTGTCTCACAGGCAGAGTGCCCTGGGGTCCATCCCGGACAAAGATAAGAAAAACAACAGCCCCTGGAGGCCCCGCAAGCCATGGAGAGCCAAGTGGGTGGGTACAGTGTGGAGCATGGAGCTTCTTGCTGGCTGGGGGATGTGGGGGACCAGGGCAGGACTCTGCTACAGAAACTGTGTGTCCTTCTCCCTCGGACCTGGAGGCAGAAGGATCCAGTGGAGGCAGCTAAGAGAGGGACTGGCCATTCTCTCCACCCCACAGGATACAGACTCTGGACTTCGTTTTGTGTGGGGTTTTTGTTGATTTTTGGGTCACACCGGTGATGCTCAGGGGTTACTCCTGGCTCAGGAATTACTCAGAACTACTCCTGGTGGTGCTCGGGGGACCACATGGGTTGCTAGGGACCAAACCCGGGTTAGCCATATGCAAGGCCAGCATCCTACCTGCTGTTCTAGTGCTCCGACCCCCAACTCTGGGCTAGGTTGTAGGTAACAGGGCCTCACCAAGGACCCAGGTCCTGAGCCCCTGCTCCCCAGTATGTGGTCGCTCCTTCTCCCAGCACACTCTCCTCTAGGAGCTCGGACTTAAACAACCCTGACGGTGGTCCCTGATGTCCAGCATCTAGCCTGTGCCATTCCCCTGCCCCACTCCCCGGCCCATCTGCTGCAGCCCCCTGGCATAACTCTTGGAGCTGTCTGAGCTCAGACACTGCCAGTGGGTCAGAGGGTATGATCTCATTTGCCCTTAGTCAACACCTGTTATGGGACAGCCCTGGCCACCTGTGTCTGTCATGCAGCCCGGGGACAATATGCAACAAGGTACTCTCTTACTTTCCTGCCTTCATCCTGCAAGGTCAGGGAAGGCCCCTCTGGGCTGGGGAGGCAAAGGCCAGCCAGAGGTGGGACCTCTCTGAAACTCATTAGTTCTTTCTGGCTTTCCTGGCAAACTGTCAGAGATTCAGGTTAAAGCACAGATTAATGGGGGACATTTGGTAGGAATTGCAGTAGGATTATGCCATAAACTCAAACAAATCCCAATTGAGGAACAAAATATCTAACTATCCCTCAAAACTGTCAAAGTCATCAAAATTAAGAAAAGTCTAACAAAAGTTAATTTGGGGCACGGAGATTTTTAAATAATCTTTGCTAGCTTGAACTCTTTGGGAGAGTAAATTTGGAGTCCACACACCACAGTAGTTATACCACTCAGTAGATAGCTTGCTACTATTTTGTGTCTTACATTAAGGAAAAAATTAAGAAAAGCCTGAAAAGTGTCAAAACTACTGTTGGATGCTGATTATAGGGGTAACTGATTTCAGAGCGTATGGAAATTGTCCACACATTTTAAGTAAGTCTATATGGATTCTAAAATAAGGTGTGTTTGAAAAATTTTAAAAATGTAACTCAAACATACAAGATATTAAATTCTGTGGATTGACATTTTCTTTTTGGAAAGTCGAGAAAATTGTGTTGCCATTTCTGAGTCTCAGTTTCATTTTCAATGAAATGGGCCAATAGCTGCACCTCCATTGAGTTGATATGTTAGTGTAATAAACAGCATACATGTAGCACTGTAGCACTGTCATCCCGTTGATCATCCATTTGCTCTAGCGGGCCCAGTAACATCTCCATTGTGAGACTTCTTTTTACTGTGTTTGTCATATTGAATACGTCACGGGTAGCTTGCCAGGCTTTGCCGTGCAGGCAAGATACTCTCGGTAGCTTGCCAGGCTCTCCAAGAGGGGAGGAGGAATCAAACCTGAGTCTGCCGGGTTGGCCGGCATGCAAGGCAAACGCCCTATCCACTGGGCTATGGCTCCAGCCCAATGCAGAATCTGCTCCAGAAAAATGTCACTCCAGAGTTCATCTGCTTCAGAAAGCAAATAAGTTCGCAGAAGTTTCACTGTGACTTACTGTTTTTAAGTTCTCAAATCATAGTTCTCCTGGCTGCCTAAGACAACATAAACTAGGGACCAGAGAGACACTTCAGTGAGTAAGGCACTTGGTTTGCACGTATCCCACCTAGGGTAGATACCTGGGACCCCATGTGGTTTCCCAAATGATCCCTGACCAAAAACGAGGAGTAATCCCTGGCAGAACCAGACATGGCCCAAAAACAAAACAAAAAAGGAAATCCAAACTCCAAACTTACTGAATACCTTGTTTATGAAATATTTTTTCTTTTAATAATTAAAATTCAGACCCAGAATGTTGCAACTGACCACACAAAATGGCAAACTGGCAAAATATTTATCCTTTTTGATTTTTCTATACTATTTGATAAGTAAAAGTATTTTAGAGCTATCACCTAATCAACTTCTATGTTTGTTACATGACAGACTACAGCCCAAAAGAATCAATGGTTCATGCAAGGTGAATGCCCTCCCTACTATACTTCAGTCCCTCTTCTGGTTATTTTTAAATATCCAACTCAGCTTTAGTACACAGTTGGTGTTAAAAAATATTGACCAGATGAAAGAGTCTGACCAAATTGCATTAATTAAATTAAGCTTAGTTTGGCCTCTCTGAAAGTTGACTTACGACCTTGCATGAAACAGCATACATACTCAGAAAAATTATATTGGCACATAGGAGATCTTCAGGAAATGTTGTGTTATTAATAGTCTAATGGATTATAGCCACCTTAGAAATAAAGAGCACTAATACAACCAGCATCCTGGCCTTGACCCCGAGTACCTCTCTTATAGCATCATACCCACAACCATAAAGTCTTTCTGTGCTTTATTTCCACTTTATTTGGAGAGGGCTAATAATTAGTACTTTCCTATTCAGTTTCATTGCTTAGAAAAGTGTCTGGCACATTCATCATCATATTATTGATAAATAATCATGGAGATCTCTATATCAGAGGGCCTCCTACTAAACGGGTAACTGGCTTTGCTAGGACTGGGGAGTTATTAAGTCCATTTTGGAATCAGTTGCTCAAGGCTGAGACACAGCTGTCAGTGAGAACTCTATGAGGTCTCTATGTTCTTAAACTTTGGCAATCACCTGCAGATATATGAAGTGAGTTTATTTGAGGCCCTTTTGTCCAAGAATTCTGTTTACTAACTACTTAGTTGCATCTAAAATATGCTCCAAAACATTTAAAAAAATTGATAACACTTTTCTACTGAGCCTAGATAATTTTTAAAAAACCCTAAACAAAGGAACACAAGTCCCTATTCATCTTTGTAGAACCTTGTGTTTGAGCGGATGTCTTGTAATGGTTTTGGTGTTAGCATTTATTGAGTATATGCTGTATTTCTAACAATATGCTAGATATTTTGTGCACATTAATTTTCAGAAGGAACATCTGAGAAGGATACTACTATTATTCTCATTTTATATATGAACAATATGTTTAGGGAGATTAATAACTTCCCCAATTCAAATATCTCAAAAAACGATGAGCTAGGTCTCAAAAAAAAAGTCCTGTCACACTTTTAAACTATTTGGTTTCTAAAGAACAGAGATTAGAAAGAACAAGAAAACAATCTCTACTTCTGCATTAAAGTAAAAAATATATATTTAAAATAACAACACAAAGTTTTTATAATAGAAACTTACTGAATGCAGTGATGGTTTTCTGCTGAACATACATAATTAATTTCTTCTCAAATCAATTTAACATCTAAATAATGTAGCACCAACTAATGGGCTCTCAGCTGGGCAAACATTAAGAGATATATTGCCCCATATACTCATCATAAAGAATGAAGATGAACAACTTGCCTGGTTACATAACATTGTTGTACAACATAAATAAAAGATTCTCTCATTTTGGCAATTGTTCTGTACTGTTCTAAGTTTTGCTAAATCAGACTTCCTTCTACTCTAACAGATGCCAGCAGTTTAAAAGCAGTTCAAGAATTCTTATTTATATCTGGTGTTCAGTTTTGAATAAAATGGGCCAAAAAATGCAGAGGGAATGGGGTGGGGGAGCATAACTTAAAAATGGAATTTATTTCCAGCCTTCTAAACACAGATTTCCAATAAACATCCACTTAGAGAACCATTTCATTAAGCTAACTGCAGCCTAAAACAAGTTCCCTGATGTTTCTTTGAGCATTTTATTTTCTAAAATGAATCATTACTTTCTATGTTTTGGCTTGACAGTCTTTTCCCCCCAATTGTGTAATTTTGAATTTGTCACTCAAATTGCTTGTATTTTCAGAGAATTGTTCCAAGACATTTATGCTGTGAAATGAGACTCTTAATATGGTAGTATGAGTTTGAAAAAGCACCCAAGCCATGAAGGTGCATTGCTTTGTCCTTTCAAATACTGCAGAGGGTCTTGACTTCCTCATTTCAATTAATGTTTAGCAGCCCTGTAAGGCTGAGTCAGGGGTGGCCACAATGAACTTTTAATAAATTAGATGGATAGCTGTGGTCTCTGAGGAGACCAAGGAAATGGAAACCAAATTTTTGGAATATCTCTCCATCTGTATTTCAGTAAAAAATCTAGATACTTATAAGCCCATTCTTAACCACCCATCTTCAAGTGAGGAAACCATGTTAATGGAGTACTAATGGACTCTGAAGGAGATTAAAGACAAGTGTCAGAGTGAATATCTTCACCATATAAACTCCACAAATTCAATGACTCAAGAGTAACTTGCTCAAAATCGATTTTACCCTATAGAATTTGGCTTAGTCCTTAAACAGTCAGAGAGAGTCTAGTTATTTTGCTATAAGATGATTTACATTTTATGCTCGTAATAAGCATAAAGGATGCACAGTAAAGAAGGAAGTCATAGTGTGAAAGCTACTTATTCATTCTATTGTTCAAAAGATAATTACAATTAAAATAAACAAACCTCAAGCTACTTCTTGAACATTTACTCTATTCCAGTAGATGCTAAGATCATAAAAGTAAAGTTATTCATAAAAAGTAAAAGTAAATTTGACTGAACTTTGTGGCAATCATATAAAATGAGAGCTATTTTAATAGCAGAAGAAACTCACGTATATTAATGACTTGACTCATGCCGGATAATATACTAAGCACATTACAGAGTTGTTTCACTTACTCTCGACAAATAGGGACTCTGTGAAGATACCTATATCACAATCAGATAGCCCCAATCTCCATATTTGAAAACTAGAGACTAAGAATTTTTTCAGTTATCAAAATTTTCACTTTCAAGAATGAATCTCTTCACTCTCCTCTCACTGCATGCAGAGAAGGTAACAGGCTTATAAAGTATGTATCTCTTATCTAGGTTCTGCTGTTGATAAATGTCAAACTTGGGAACCAGACGAAGTTTTCTCACTTTTTAATGCAGAGTGGATCAGACATGGGCTTCCTGAAAGTGCACTATAAAAGTGATGTGCTGCGGAGAACATAAGTTGCAGGCAACTGACTGTACTCTTCAGTGACCTGACCTCCAGGGAAAGGAAAGATGTTCTGTCCACTGGAACTCTAAAGAGAAATACAAATGCAGCTTTCATCTGAACTACTCTAGCTGTTCTCTTCTCAATGATGCCTCTAGTTCTGGCATTTTAACCTTATTTTGAGAGGCTAAAATATATACCAATGATTTCTATTCAATTTTAGGTTAAAAATGGGGACCTGGAAGGCAGAAAGATAGTATGGAGGTCAAGGTGCTTAATATAGTTTGTCCCAGTTCAGTCCCCAGCACCACATGGTTCTATTTTGGGTTACTTCTGCTATGTTTTTACTTCCTTTTCCCTTGGAGTGAATAAGTTGTAAATATTAGATTACTGCTTTATTACTGAAGCTACCGATAAGCATGACTCTTTGACAACGAGATCAGGCACATGGTCTCTGGTCATCCTAGATGAGAACTTTGAAAAATCATGTTCCCTCCCATCATTTCCTTTGAAGATATTGCTCTTACTCTATTACTTCATGGCCTGTATAGCAAGACAAAAAAAATCTACTAGAATTGACACAGGTGGATCTCATGTCTTCTTTTTAGTGCATTTGAGTCAATAAATCATAGGAGTTCAAGCATGCCTTACAGGTGTGGAGAGTTTAAAATGACTCTGTGAAGAAGCACATACATAACGCATGAACAGGTAGAAAAAACATTTTATGGACTATCCACACAGATAGATATTATAGGTGAAAAAACTTCAGCAGAGCCTTTTGTTTACCTGAAAAGGTACATGTGTCTGATTACATACCACATGGGATTTGGTATAAAATCATGTTTTCCTCTGAGATCCGGGAAGTAAACACTTGAATACAAATATAAGATATCCAGTACTAGTGAT